ATGAAAAATAAGTCTTGTACTGTTTGATGATCAGTGTCTTTCAGAAGGACATTTTCATGTGCAAAAAACAAACCGAACAAACAAACTCAAGAGTCAGACCAGCATCCCACAATTTCTCTGACGGCCTGTTTTATCTCAGGAGTTTGAACCTCCGGAGGCCTTCAACACATAACTGACAGATGAGTCAATAAAATGCCCACATAATAATTAGATTCAGCTCTGTTCCTGAATGACTGTTGACTAAAACAAGATGTATCGACTGCTCTGCTCCTTCAGTCTTCCTCCTACAAATTAATCTAGACTAAGATTTGCCTTGAGCACCAGTTGGCCCCTCGTGCTCTCTCTGTGTTGATCCCACTGTTGACCTGATCTTATCAACAGCTCTGTTAGGTAGGAAGCTCCTGGTGTCTCTGCATGTGTGCATACAAACACTTAACTCGTTACCCGTGTCCTCATGAATCTTCCTGCTGTATGCGTTCATCATTTGGGTGTTTTTGCGTAAGTGTGGCTCCATGGGTGTTTCCAGCAGCAGATTGGATGCTGCTGAGTGTTTTTTTTTTTTTTAATTCCCTGTGGTTACTTGTCTCCTAAACAGAGCTGATGTGGAGTAATGTCCCCGAAGGGCTCCAAAGGAAATATGGAACAGGAAAAATAGAAACAGTTTGTATGTTTGAAGAGGTTGGGTCTTTTTTCTGTAGAATTGTGGAGGGTATTGAGAAAGAAAAGTATTACAGGTGCTGGCCAGTAAATTAGAATATCATCAAAAGGTTGAAAATATTTCAGTAATTCCATTCAAAACGTGAAACTTGTACATTATATTCATGCAATGCACACAGACCAATGTATTTCCGATGTTTATTACGTTTAATTTTGATATTTATAGGTGACAACCAATGAAAACATCAAATCTGGTATCTCAGAAAATTAGAATATTCTAAAGGCCAATGAAAAAATGTTTGTTTCTCTAATGTTGGCCAACTGAAAAGAATGAACATGAAAAGAATGTGCATGTATAGCACTCAATACTTAGTCGGGGCTCCTTTTGCCTCAATAACTGCAGTAATGCGGCGTGGCATGGACTCGATCAGTCTGTGGCACTGCTCAGGTGTTATGAGAGCCCAGGTTGCTCTGATAGTCGTCTTCAGCTCCTCTGCATTGTTGGGTCTAGCGTATTGCATCCTCCGCTTCACAATACCCCATAGATTTTCTATGGGGTTAAGGTCAGGCGAGTTTGCTGGCCAATCAAGGACAGGGATACCATGGTCCTTGAACCAGGTGCTGGTGGTTTTGGCACTGTGTGCAGGTGCCAAGTCCTGTTGAAAGGTGAAGTCTGCATCCCCATAAAGTTGGTCAGCAGCAGGAAGCATGAAGTGCTCTAAAACTTCCTGGTAGACGGCTGCATTGACCCTGGACCTCAGGAAACAGAGTGGGCCAACACCGGCAGATGACATGGCACCCCACACCATCACTGACGGTGGAAACTTTACACTGGACCTCATGCAACGTGGATTCTGTGCTTCTCCGCTCTTCCTCCAGACTCTGGGTCCTTGATTTCCAAAGGAAATGCAGAACTTGCTTTCATCAGAAAACATAACTTTGGACCACTCAGCATCAGTCCAGTCCTTTTTGTCCTTGGCCCAGGCGAGACGCTTCTTGCGCTGTTTCTTGTTCAAGAGTGGCTTGACACACGGAATGCGACACCTGAATCCCATGTCTTTCATGAGTCTCCTCGTGGTGGTTCTTGAAGCGCTGACTCCAGCTGCAGTCCACTCTTTGTGGATCTCCCCCACATTTTTGAATGGGTTTGTCGTCACAATTCTCTGCAGGGTGCGGTTATCCCTAGAGCTTGTACACTTTTTTCTACCACATTTTTTCCGTCCCTTCGCCTGTCTGTTAATGTGCTTGGACACAGAGCTCTGCGAACAGCCAGCTTCTTTAGCAATCACCTTTTGTGTCTTGCCCTCCTTGTGCAAGGTGTCAATGATTGTCTTTTGGACAGCTGTTAAGTCAGAAGTCTTCCCCATGATTGTGGTGCCTTCAAAACAAGACTGAGGGACCTTTTAAAGGCCTTTGCAGGTGTTTTGAGTAAATCAGCTGATTAGAGTGGCAGCAGGTGTCTTCTATATTCAGCCTTTTCAGAATATTCTAATTTTTTGAGATACCAAATTTGGAGTTTTCATTAGTTGTCACTTATGAATATCAAATTTAAATGTAATGAACATTGGAAATACATTGGTCTGTGTGCATTGCATGAATATAATGTACAAGTTTCACGTTTTGAATGGAATTACTGAAATATTTTCAACCTTTTGATGATATTCTAATTTACTGGCCAGCACCTGTATTTACAGTATGAACGCTATAAAGTTAAAGGCAACAGATTTATTAAAAATATTTTAAACAAATAATAATAATAATTCATAACCTGTATCAAAAAAGGATTAAAAATACAATAATGAAGCTGAACTTGGCATCCTTCCTGGTGTAGAGACCCTGTTCTATTTGTCCTTTCAGCAAATGTGGAAAACCTTCACTGTGAAGGAAGTCAAGGTGCCTTAGACCCTCGCCAAGCTCTGTCGGTTCGCTCCTTGTAGCACCCTTTACCATGCCCATGACCTCACCACATGGTACTCTTATGACTGCATTCCAGAAGGATGCTGTCACCATTTTCTGACAGGGGCAGGGGTAAAGCTGCACCATTCCCACATCATGAATATGCCCTCCTAAGAGCTCTGTCACTGTTAAGATAACCCACTTCCTGCTTAGTATGCACCTGAAGACCACACTAAAACCATCCCACATTCTCCATATTTTATATCTCCAAACTTTGTTCTTTGTGTATTTTTGTCCTACTTTTGCCTGAAAGTACTTGTCTGTCTTGTATTACCTGTGCTGTCTCTAAATCAGACTGCATTTTTGTCCACCTTTCCGGTGAGAGTAATATGAGTAAACACATTAGGCTGTGAGGTAATCTTCCATACTCGGGTGTGTTTAGGACTCTAACCACACTAGAGAAGTTTTGCTCCTTTAGTCTTCAGTGTATGAAACTTGTTTTAGTTTCGTTAGATTTGTAAGATACAGCCCACACAGGACCTGTGGAGTTCTGGTAGTAAATCTTCTGGTGTTTTAAAAGCATGCAGAAGCATTTCCATGCTCTACAGCTAATGGCAAACTCAACTCTCAAAGCTCTTTGACCCCAGAGACACCTAAGCTCGGTAGTTTGCATTTCTGGTTTTCAGAAGCAGTCAGGCTTGTTCGGACACCTGATTCAGTTTTCGTGCTGAGGATGTAGGATTTTCTTGAATTATGTCTAAACTCAGCTGATGTCTTCCTCCAGATCTTCTGGAAGGAAGAAATTGTTTGGTCAAATGGTGTTTAATTTGTGTTCTTATCTTCTCCACTTTACAAATAGTCATATTTTATTTTCTTTAACTTGGCCTCTGCCCCCTATGATTTTAATCTTTTAATTGGTGGTGAACGTGGTTTTATTTTAATTTAGTAAGGCCTAGTCCACACGTAGCCGGGTTTTTTAAACGAATGTCTGCCCCTCCAAAAACTTGCATCCACACCACCTCGTTTTAAAAAAAAACTGTCCACACGTACCCGGATAAATATGTTGTTAAGGACATGCCAGACCTGTAGGCGGCAGTACTTCCCCCGCTCTTAACCTCGTCCTTCGTCTGTGGTCTTCTGCAAGGAGCAGTAACTCCGCTTGCAAAAACAAACAAGCAAAAAGTGCTTGGACAATTGATTAAGTGAGCGCAGCTCTGAGGGCATCCATGCTGTCGGCTAGTGTAAACACAGGTCGCACACGTGATGTCAGCATTTTTTTGTAGCGGAACGTGACGTTGCGGACCTCAAAACTCCGGTTTTGTCTGTCCACACGCAGACACCCAAAACGGAGAAAACGCAGATCTTCACTTTGGCCGGAGTTTTTAAAAAGATCCGTTTTCATGTGAAAAAAACTCTGTTTTCGTGTGGATGACAGGCCAAAACGTAGAAAAATATCTACGTTTTGGCAGATCCACGGCTACGTGTGGACAGGGCCTAATTGTAATTGTAAGAAGGCGATAGAGCCTTTTGGAGGATCTCATGGCTGCTTGGACAGCGTTTGAGGATTTAAAAGCTCTGACATTTCCAAACAATAAATGTAACAAAGCTAAAACTGCAGCAGGCCATTAAAGATCTAACACTTGGTTAAAGTCACCTGAGGACTGGATTTCTTTTCAGTGCTTTGTTTTCTTTCTTCATATCCTAGAATTGTTCAGAATATCACCGGTTGATATTGTTTCCACACAGTTAACTATGTAAGTAATAATTTCACCCTGCAGTTGTTCTTCATTTATTCATCTGGTGCAATAAACACATAAGTGTGTTCACATCTGCAATTGTGTTCTTCATATTTGGAGTTTTGGGAAGAAAATGTGACCAAACCTTCACATGTGAATTAGTAACCTCATTCTCTTTTTTTTTTCTAAAAGAACAAAAACAAATCTTTTCATCACCACATTACATATTTACAGGTGAGTCTGAGAAAAATCCCCAAACAGTGTCATTTATCAGCATAAAGACATATTTTAGCACTAATAAGGTAATTTCAAAGACAGACCCTGCAATAGATGATTTACTGAAATCCTGTTTCAGGTCTTTTGTTCTCATTTCTAAACACACCCACTTTTGAATTCTGTCGTTCTGCAGGAGAATATTTTAAGTCCTGGCACATTTTTTGTGCCACAAATTATATGATATTATGATCCAGCATGTATTTGTTTATGCGTGGGAGAAGCAGTCTGAAGAATGATTGGCTCCATGTGGTGAAAGCTTCAGGGCGGCTGAGTTTTTGAAAGCTGCAGTATTGAAATGACATTTTCCTGCAAATGAGTCGGATACTATAGCAGTTCGACCATTGTACTTTTTATTTACGCATCCATGAATTCTAAAAGTTTTCAAAAAGGAAAGAAAAAGCTGAAGTTAATGTGCTAGTGTGTGTTTTTTGGCAGGGCCAGAACCAAAGGATCAGCCCCTGCTCCACCCTGACCAGCAGCACTGCCTCTCCACCTGCAGGCAGCCCCTGCTCCACCCTCCCTACAGCCATGCCTGGCCAGGCTGGAAACCAGGACTGCGCCTACGGTTCTGTCACCAGTCCCACCTCCACGCTGGAGAGCAGAGACAGTGGGATTATAGGTGAGATCTACAAATGGATTTACTAAAAACACTCCCAAAAAACGTGTTCATATTGTAGAATAATCAAAAAAACGTATCTGAACAAATAATACTTAAGTACTTAAGCCGAGATTTTATTTATTTATTTGTTTTTTCACAATAAAGACCAGAAGGTGCAGCCAAAGGTCTTCAAAAATACAAGCAAAACCTTAACATTTGTAGCTGCATTGTTGGTTCTTTTTGAAAACATAGAAAAGGTTTCTTTTTTACCTTGCTGCTGACAGTTTCGTTCGTGGCTACAAACTTCCTCAGAGCTGACGCTGATGGTGGCGTCACTTCCTTCTCTGTTTATTCGCGGGCAGCAGAGGATGTTGTCGCCCTCTGCTGCCCGCTCTCCCTTCACCGATGATGCAGTCCCATGTGCGATCCAATGTGTAGACCCCATCGTCTCTGTTCATGGTCCCACATCCACGTCTCCTTATCTCTAATAACACTGACGACACAGGCAACATAAAGTTCGCAAATGAGTCAGAAACAGAAGGCAGCATATTATTTATGGACATGAAAATAACCAGGCAGACCGATGGGACCCTAAACATAAACACATACAGGAAACCAACACACACAGACCAATATCTATTATGGACATCAGAACACCCCACCATACACAATATGTCAGTAATCAGAACATTATATCACCGAGCAAACATGATAACAGAAGAAAGAGACCATAAACAAGAGGACAAGCACATACAACACACTTTAAAGACCTGCGGATACCCGACATGGGCAATAAACAAAGGAAAACAACAAACAACAACAGAAAGAAAAGAACAACCTAAGCAAAGAACCAGAAATGCAGAAAGACAAGAACCAAAACCAGTGATAACCTTACCATACATCAAAGGCATAACGGAAAAAATAAGAGCAACAATGAAAAAGCACAACATAAACACACCAACAAAACCATACACAACAGTTAGAAACAGACTAGTACACCCAAGAGATAAAATACCAGCTGGACATAAATGTGGAGTTGTTTACGAAATCCCATGCAAAATATGCAATAAAATATACAAAATATACACAAACTCAACACACGAACTATACAACATAGAAAGGAGTGCGAGAGAGAAACAAGTCGAAGACACACAAGAGCAGCAAAACAAGAAGCAGAAAGCACAATAAAGAAGTCAGCCGTAACAGATCACTGCACAAGAGAAAACCATATAATGGACTGGGACAACACAAGGATCATAAACACCGAACAACAGAAATACAAAAGATGGATAAAGGAAGCTATAGAGATAAGGAGACGTGGATGTGGGACCATGAACAGAGACGATGGTGTCTACTCATTGGATCGCGCATGGGACTGCATCATCGGAGAGGGGAGAGCGGGCAGCAGAGAGCGACAACGTCCTCTGCTGCCCGCGGATCAACGGAGTAGGAAGTGACGCCACCATCAGCGTCATCTCTGAGGAAGTTTGCAGCCGCGAACGAAACTGTCAGCAGCAAGGTAAAGGAGAAACCTTTTCTGTTTTAAAAAAGAACCAACAATGCAGTTAGAAAAGCAACACAGTAAGTGCATACCAAAGATGATTAAAATTTTTGATCAATTTTAACGTACGATATAAAATATTGTTTTCCGAATGCGTTTCTGAAATTATTATATTTACTAGTGGTTACTTCTGGTCTGTGAAGAGCTTCTGCACTGGCAAACCCAGGGATCTGGCCTGGCAAGCCATCCTATACATACATGTGGCCACGACCCATAAACATAGCTCAGTCGTGGAAGCAGAATCCACGGTTGTCTTTCAGATGATCTCCATACGCAACTGGACAGCTCTAGGACCAATCAGAGCAACAAACTCAGTGACGAATTAATCGTTGTGGGTGTTGGTCAACATGGCAGTCTGCCAAATGCTGTTGAAGAAGAAGCAAATGCATCCTTTTTCTAAACAAAGGACTTAAGTACTTCTATCTCCTCTTGTTCCAAAGAAAAGTCGAAATTGTCCAAAGTCAATCCCAAAGCTGTTTCAAACGAGCCGTTGGCGCTAAGCCCACCCAACGTCTCTCTACAAACAGAGTGATGTGATTGGCGAGACACAAACCTGTTTGAGCAATGGTAGACTAGCTGAGGCTACAGTAGAGTGTGGCTCGGCAGACCTTCAGAACAAACTCTGCTTAGCAAACCATGTAGCTTAGCGGGGAGCTTCGGTTTCAATATGCAAAAAGTCTTCACAGCAGAGAAGAGAAGTTGTTCCGAGGTTCATCACTTTATTAAACCGATGGATTTTCAGATTTATTCACTCATTTCTTGAACCAAACAATGTATTTTCACACTCTCTTCGTTCAGTGATCAAGTCCAGCAGGAATGTACTCATATTTTAGTAGAAATTGTTGAAAACCTTCTCAGTGGCCTAGTGGTAGAGTGTCCACCCAGGGACTAGGAGATCGGGGTTCAGTCCTGGTCGGATTATACAGTAGACTTTAAAAATGGGACCCTCCTTGATGTGCAGCTTTAAAGGGGTTTATTGGGGGTTAAACCACCAGATAGTTCCCAAGCGCAGCCACTGCTGCAGCTCACCGTTCCCCACGGGGATGGGTCAAATGCAGAGATGAGTTTCACCAGTGTGTGATGATGACTAATGGGCCTTTAACTTAAAATCACTGTAATGTGACCTTGACAGCAGTCGTAAGGTTAATAAAATAACACTTTCATGAACAGCTAGAAAATTCTGGCTATTGGAGCACTTTTAAAACTGCTCAGGTAGTTTTCTGTAGCAGATAAGTTAGTAAAGATTTACAACTTTTAAACAGAAAACTACTTAAAAATGGCCAAAAACGTGATTTCAATTCAAGTTTAGACAACTGAAAAGATTTGGATTCAACCGTTTTTCCAAATGATGTATGAACAAGTGATTTATTCTTCCTCTAATGGTTAAATCAGCTTCTGCAGAGCTGCATCTGAACTAATGAGGCTGAATTTGTCTTTCAGCTCTCAATAAATAATTTCATACCTGTTTAATAATTAGAATTCAGACCTGTAGCTGTAATCAGCCGGAATTCAGGTTGTTTTAGATTCTGGATTAATGCTTTTAAGCTATAATTTAGTCCCTATAGTGATGTTTTCTCAGGAACACACAGTCAGAAACCTGCAGTGTTCAGTTCAGTTTCAGTGGGATTGTTTTGGGCTTCTGCTCTGAGTTTGGTGCAGGTTCCTGGTTTGTTCTCCCAATAGACGACGAGCCAAAGTGTTCACTGATGTGAAGCACTTTGAATTGTCAGAACAGGTGCCATTGTTGTTTCCTGGCAACAATGGTGAACACCTGCAGCTGGAGATGAGGTGTGTAACATCAGCATGATATGGATTAGGCGCCACGGTAAACGGATGTGAAAGCAGAACGAGGGTTTGACAGGTGGAGGGACAGGATGGTGGGATGAGAAGTTCTCTGAAAGGTGGTGTCATGATGTTGCTTTTGTCGTTCCAGCCACTTTGACCAGCTACTCTGAGAACATGGAGCGAGGAGGTAAATACAGCGAGGGATCGCGGCGAAACTTGAAGCTGTGGCAGTCTCAGAAATCAGGCATGGATTCGTTCCTGTACAGGGTGGATGAAAACATGACCGCCTCCACCTACAGCCTAAACAAAATCCCTGAGCGAAACCTGGAGAGCATGTCCCCCCACTCTGCCCACTCCATCCCCTTATACCTCATGCCCCGTCCCAACTCTGTGGCTGGTGAGTCCCCTCCTCTTCCCCTTCTTCTCCTGTTTTAGATAGAAGGATGGCAAAGGTTCATTGGCATCGGCAGATGAAAAGTCACAAGGTTGCACACATTTCTCCTGAGCAGATTTGGGTTTTTAATGCTTTTTTATTTATTTATTTATTTATTTTTAGAAAATTGGATTGAGCATCTTTAGTTAACGTCCTTTGCTAATTCCTCCGGTAACCTTTGCTTGTTTTCTTGAACTTATTATTTAGTTGACAATTTCTTCGATTTGTAAATAAGGAAACACCTAAACATGCAGTCCGATCATTAAACATTTAAAAAGTTTGGAACTAAAGCTGGGGTTTGTAGCATTGTATTGTCAAGAAGAGGATGAGGAGGAGGAGGAGACTTTGAAGTATACCTCCTGCCCCTGCTCCCCCTCATCTTCAGGAAGGAGCTGAAAGCCATGGCTCATACCATGCACTTGCACACAAATAGCCTTGTAGCGCTAATGGACGAGTAAGGTTTTTGGTATGTTCCTGCTCAGACACACCTGATTCTAACTGCTGAATTATCTCCTCACCCATCATTGGGTTCTGCAGGAGCTGCTAAGCACTCATTTTAATCAGAGTTCAAGCAGGAAAACATCTAAAACCAGTACTCGTAGCCCGTCCGTGCTGACACTACAAAGTCTAAAACAATAGTGTGATGTAGCGTAAGACTTCACTTTAAGACACAAAAGCTAAATCCATTTTTGTTCCCCTTCCTCCTCTTCCACAGTTGGTTTAAAATTTACAGACTGACATTAATTTAACAAAGGTCGTGTTAGCATTCAAGCTAGGTTGATGTACTAAGCTGACTATCTGTCACCCTGCAGTGCGAGCTGGGAAATGGGACACATTCCCGTTGATTGGTATCTCCCTCTTGTGGAAACACAACTTCATTGGTCAACGCTCGAGTAAATGATTTGCTTTGGTGTAGAGAACAGGGGAGGGGCTTAGGGAAATATAGAGCAGGGTAAGAGGGTCAGATTAAACATTTTTATGGTACTTTAAATATTTTAAATTACATACCCCAAGTTAAAACACATAGGGTTGTTGATTTATTGTCAACCTCAGTTGTTTTAGTTTTTGTATTGTTTCAATTTGATCTCATTTGTTCTCCCCATCATGTTTCTGATTGAGTGTTAAAAGGATCGCATTCATAGTAAAATGTAACTATTTAAAAAAAATTTAACATGATGACTAAATCTTTCTACTGAACTCAACAATTAGATGCACAGGAACTGCTATATATTGCTTTGGTCTTGGCTGCATTTGTACTAGCCGTTAGCTTGTCGGTCTTGCAGCGCATAAATGCTGTATTTTTAACCAAGGCTGTGCAGGAAGCTAGCTCTTTAACATGTTCGCTAGTAATGATTCATCATAACTGCTACACAGAAGAAATTCTAATTGACCAAAATATCTCATTATTATCAAAATTAAACTTTTTTTTTTTTACTAATTCAGACTTATTTACCTGATTGATTCAAGTCTAAGCTTGATTTATTTTTTTTTATCTTTGTTTTTTGTAGATTTGATTATGTTAGCATTTCTTCCCAACATAAGAATACGAGTGTTGTCTTTAACTGGCATGGGGTTTTTCAGAAACGTTGGTAATCTGCAAGCCCACAGTGTCATTTTGTTAAGCCCTCACAGCCCTCTGGTGTAGAATGAAACTACAGAGCTGAAAAACGCCGTCGGGAAAGCGGCTTCTAAAGAATAACATACTGCAGCTGGAAGAACATCAGACAGGAAGAGCATTTGGCGTTAGTGTTGCTAAAGGAGCTCTCACTCATGTGTATTTCTCATTGTAGCTGCTGTAAAACCCTCCCAGAGGTTGCAGTAAATAAATCAAGTAGAAATGTCAGTTTCCTAAAGCGGAGGCAGCCCTGATGGGCCTGATTGTAATATTGTTCTAATCATCGGAGCAGTTCTTGCAGGCGATGAGCTCTAGCATTTCCCTGACTCTCACCAAGGGAGGCAAGTGTTTGTGTGTCCCTGTAACCACTTATTTGTTTCACTAAGATGCTTGACGGGGCCCGTCACTGCAGCGATGACCCTGACTTTATGCTGGTCATGTCCTGCTGCTCGACACTGCTGTCTGGCTGAGCAGCCGCAGATTCATCTTCGATCACATCTCCTCCCTATCTTCAAACGAACCGAGTGAGCTGAGGGCGGCTTAAAAGACACGCTGCAAGCTACAGATGGCGAAAATAAAGCAGAGAATTCAAGTAGAAACGAAGATGTTAGGCAATTTATTTTTTTAAAGATATTTTTCAAGGCCTTTGTGGGGGTTTTTTTTTTTCATTTATTTATCATTTTTTTCAGGGGGCAGGATCTCCATATTTATGAGAAACATGTGGAAGAGCATTTCATAATCTCTCTTTCTCACTCCGTCTCTCCTCCACAAAGAATTATTAGATGATGTAGGGATGGGAGGCGAGCGCAGGCTGGGGATTGGCTGAGCTCTCGCAGCAGTGGAACATCAAAGCCCCAGGCATTAACCGTTTCTATCCCCCAGAGTGACAGAGACACTTCGCTTTGATGTGCAGAGAGGGAGGGAGAGGAGGATGGAGCCGGAGCAGGAGGAGACCAGGCAGGGAAATGAGGAGTGAGGGGGCTACTCTGTTACCTAATGAAGGCAGTGCGTTGGTAGAGCTGGAGATGGATACGGAGGAAGGAGAAAACAGTATTTTCATTTGACTTCCTCCCTCAGTCACTGTGCATACAACAGTAGAGCTAACCGGAATTGTAAAAGCTGAAATTATATATTTAAAAAAGGGAATTGTCAACATTTAAGCTGCTGGGGTTGAGAGTTTCAGTTTGAACTAAGCTCAGAAAAATACTCAATCCTACACGTTCGTTTTGGAAATGAAGAAATCTGCCCCTGATTTTGATCTATTAAATGAAAAGTGTAAAAGATGATAAATTCCCCAAATTTGTGTTTAAAAGTACACACCGAGTGATTACTAACTAAAATTCTTTACTTCCCTTTTAGTTAATGTTGAACTGGTGTGTTTCTGTAGCGATGTCTTTTTGTTGTGCAGTGCTGTGTTTAGACCTGGGGCCATGTGAAGGCGCTATATAAATAAAGTTGATTGATTGACTGATATGTCGATGAGCTACATCTGCAGATTTCCTCATGGAAAGATTAATTGTTTCCATAAATGTGGCTAGAAAAAGCACAGGTTTGATTAAAGAATAAAGTATCCTTGCTTGATTGGGATTATTGTTCTCATGCTCACTGTTTTGGAGAGTTTGGTTGGAAAAAATGTGTAATTTACCACCAATACGATACAGTTGTAGCCTGGCAGCCATCCTATGCATGTGAAGATATAGTTTTGCCACGGGTCGTAGACAGCGGGGCGTAACCTACGGTTGTTTTTCACCCGAGTTTAAATATTCCAAAGCTTATGCCAAAGCCATTTTAAATGAGCTGTCTCTATCTTAGTTGTTCCTCTCTGTCACAGCTCTGGTGCTAATCCCGCCCACCAAACCGACTGAGCATTGTGATTGGTTAGACCAACCTGCAGAGCAAAAACTTTTTTGCTTGTGCTGTGGTGGCTTGAGATGTCTAGGCTAAGACAATTCACTTCCTTGACCATAAAAAAATGTTGCTGCCAAAAAGAAAGGTCACACTCGGCTCAATCCTGGTCCTGGAGGGCAAGTATCCAGCATGTTTTAGTTGTTTCTCTGCTCCAACATCCTTGATTCAGTGATTGAACTGCTTTTTCAGCAACTCGTGAAGCTCTGCAGAAGGCTGCCAATCACCTGCTGATAGAAATCAGATGTGTTGAAACAACAAAAACATGTGGGAAACTGGCCCTCTAGGACCAGGAATGAGAACTCCTGATCTAATAGCTGAACTGCCTGAAAGCTTTGATTACGGCATACATTCACCCTAAACCATCACTTGGGAACGGGCTAGATCTGGACCTATCGTTCTTTCATAGCTCCAGTAAACTGAAGCCTTTTTCTCTAGTTAGCATCACTGAGTCGTGTCTACACAGATTTCCAGTCCCAATCCATGAGTTTCTTTTGCATTGTGCATGTGAAAATGCTCTTACCTTTACTATTAAACATAGCCCTGAGTTGAGTTTTACTCTTGGTTAACATCACTAGATGTTTAAGTGATTGCTGTTTGTTCAGGGTTTTTTTTTTTTGACCACATAACTTCCCCGAGGACGATAGTTCCCCACTTTCCTTTTTTTTAATAATGATTTGGACAGTTTGTGATCCAGCGTCATTACTTCTGGAATCTCTTTAGTTGTTTTCTCTGCTTGAGACATGTCTATGATCTGACCCTTCAGAAACGTCATTGCATCAGCCGGGGTTAAATTATACGTTGCTAACTGAAAGATTATAACCCATGCATCTAATAGGAAGCTCGTACCTGTTTGTATGCAGGTGGCGACCTTTTATGGGCCAGGCTCAGCATGAAATAGTTTATTAATTTGCCGTTTTGTGGAAACAGTGAAAGCTGTTTATTTTGACTGCAGAGGTTTCCACATGTTGGCATCGTTGCTACAAACAGGCGTCCCCTGAACGCCTCGCATGAAGATGATCAGTAGCTGCTACTTCTTCCTTAAATTGAATGTTCATCTTTATGAAATGTGTGTAAAAGTTATAAATCAATAACTTAAACATTTGTTCTGTGACACTCGAGGGCTTTGCACCCTGAAAATAATAATAAAAAACTACATGAAAGAGCATTCTTGCTTATAAAATGGTAAAACCAAGTAGGCTCAGCTGGCTGGAACAGCTGCTGCTTTCTCCTACTCCACAATCTGTTGACAATGCACAGGCATGGCCAGTAAGTCATTACTTCTAAAAGTGGCAAATATTACCTGATTAATCGTTGACTGCTATAATTGTGATCAGATTGGTTAAATCAAACAGAGCTGAAGACAAACTGGAAATGTGTCTGGAGCTCACAGGAAAACATGAAAATAACAGTGTTCTTGCCAGCTTATCTAGAGCAGCAGAGTCACAGTGGTAACAACAAAAGTTTTTGTGGCTCTCTGACGGTAGATGAGGCTCCATCTGGGATATAGTCTGATAAAAGGCTGATAGCAGTAACAGCTCTGATCGGAGAACAGTGAGGCGTTTGGAGCAACAGTAGAGAACTCGTATCTGAAACTACTTGTTTTGCCAACTGATACGGAGACTGGTGCTGGACAATGGCCCAGCTGTTGTTAGGTGTGTCTGTGTGTGTGCGTGTGCGTGTGTGTGTGTGCCGTCTCTCTCCTCCAAACAGGAAGTGTCTGCTATGTTGCTGCTATCGTCACCCAAAGCTTTCTGGTGCAGCCAGACTTTTCATGGATACCTGCTATATCCTGCCTTTTCTGCTTTCCTACGTTATTTTTTCCCCACTCTGCGTGCAGTCTTAGCGCATTGGCACAGCAGCTGTGAATGCGATCCCCAGTAGCCTGCTGCATTGCAGATAGGAATGATGAGCACACAGATTCGAGTTCCCACATTCAAACCCATTTAAAAGAGAGAAAAGAAAACCAGAGAGACGTCCCGACGCAGAGTCATTCTTCCTTGGTTTAGCGTCGGATAAATGCCTCCACTCACTCTGCTTTTAGCTCAGCTGCATGACCAGTCCACCCCCCCACCCCCCCCCCCCCCCACACACACACACACACACACACAAACACACACACACAGTCCCATCAAGGCCAAGCCTCCAACATTCCCAGCTGCCATTTTTCCTCCCATTTGGGAAACCCATGTGGCTCCTCTGTACTGTGATGGCTCACACACAACTATACATGTGCCCAGCTCTTGACTGTCCACCAGACAGCACGGTTTGAGCTCGGGACAATACTGATATTGAGTTTTACAAAGACAAGAAGAGGATGCTAAGAGGTCTGCTCCATGGAGAATTATAGACTGTAGCTTTTAGAGGGAATGGAGAAAGAGAGAGGATGTTACTCTACAGAATCTCAAAACATTCCAGGTATTGTGGGAAACACCCAAAAATTACTCCGCAAACTTTTTCTTTGCATTTGTATTATTATTGAAGATGGCTTATAAAAGCTTTCATTCAATATCTGCAGCCATGTTCGTTCATTCATTCGTTCATTCTGTCAACTATAATAATCAGATTTGGCATCACCATGGAACCCCAATATGACTGCAAACACAAATTTGGAAAGCAGATCAGACAAGTTTCAAACACAAACCCTGGGGCAACAAACATTTATTTGTGGAGAGGCTTTATGTACTGTCTGCTTGTTTCCAGAGCTGTGAGATATCGGTTTCTACAGCAACTGAAGTTAGTTTAGAGGAATTCTGACTAAAGTTTAGGTCATTTATTAGTTTGACCCTTTCTTCCTGATGTTCTTTGCCTTTTTAGCGGTATTGTGGTGTTTTATAAGTGGCAGAAATGGCAGCTTTTGCTGTAAAAGTCACAAAATAATTTAAAGTGAATATATTTCAGATGGGATTTTTGTAAAAAGAAAAGTCTCTCTAAATTCACCAAGTTCCATGTTTTTTTCTGCCCTCACCTTTCGGTGAACCGGCTATTCCTGAGCGTTTCAGTCCCTTAATCCTTCCTGAATATTAATGTGGGACTGTCTCATGTTTTCTCACCTTGGAGTCCAGGTGTGACTCAGAATCCAGTTGCTCACCTTTGCTGGCAGTGTCTGATCTCATTTAGCATTCGGTGGTTTTGAGCGGTGGCTCTAAAGACACCGTGTGGTGTGAACAATCAGCAGCAAGCGTCAGACAGCGCTCCCTCCATGAATAAGACATTTGTCTGCTGAGCTAATTAATCCTGAGAGGGGCCGGATGGCATCTGCCTCTGTGCTGTGTGACGGACACGGCGAGGAGGGAATTTGAGGACTGAATCACGTTGAGCTGGTTCCCTTCTCCCTGAAGGACTTAGCAAGTGTAGGAGCGGGAACCTGACAGCTGCAGCAGAACGCCTGCATGGGCCTTTGCCACCTTCTTCTGCACTTCTGCATATTATGGGATTTGTTTACTGAAAGTGTGGACACTTGGTGACATGTGTGTTATTCCGTTTTTTTTTTTTCTTCTCTCTAAAACATCCTGATGTTTCCTTCTCCCTATCTTACACACACACACACATACACACAAACAGCCACAAGCTCAGCCCACCTGGAGGACCTGGCATACCTGGATGAGCAGAGGCACACTCCATTACGCGCCTCGCTGCGCATGCCAAGGCAGAGCACCACCTGCGGGCCGGGTCGCTCTGGGCAGGACCTGAGAGGTGAGCACAAACACGAGCACTCGTCTGGATTGTTTCTGTATCACCGACATAATGTCAAACGGATTCACCCTGGTTTCTAAAAGGCGAAACTTTAAGATGCATTATTGTTTTTGTAGTATAAAAATATGAAGGTCTTTTTGGCTCTACTGTTGGTTTGAAATAACAAAGAATAGTTTCCGTGTCTCGTTCTCAGTCCCTAATGAGCAGATTATACCATATCTGTAGAAAATTTCTAAACGAATAAGCATAAATACGTTAAGAGGCTTAAGAGGTTCTGTTCCTGGGCTAAACCGGAAACGGACAGTTTTAGACCCCTAATGTAAGAAGATGAATGTAATAGTCAATCATAAGGTTAAAAAAAATCTTAATAAACAAGTTGTGTCATTTTTTTGGGTAGAAATATTCCCATCTAATCTCAGTGATAATATTTCCATTGATCTGTATTGGATAATGAGCTCCCATTGGACCCTGCCTCTATGGTTTTACATCAGTCGTGCTGTAATATGACTCTAACTCTTTGCTAGGATCCAGGAAAGAAGTGTTTTTATCTGGATCAGATCAGGAGGTGGACTCGAGGAGACAGGAGCATAGGGAACATGCTGTGAGCCCCATGTTTAAAATCTCTGAGTTAGTTTAACTTTTACCCTGCTTAAATTATGACAAGATGCTCCACTTTGATTCAAAAAAGGCAAATTAGCAGAAAAATGAGGTCTGTAGCGTGTGTTTTTATTCAGCAGTCACGTTGAAGCATGTAACTATACATCACCCTGATAAACGGGTTGTTATTGGCATTTACAAACATGTTATTTGTAAACATCATCAGCTCTTTTAATACCACAAGCTGGAGTTAATTAATCCTGTGTTTAAAATTAAGACTATAGATTAGTAAAGAGCATTCACAAGCAACAACTGTTGATGGAAACAGTGTTTATAAACTATACTGGTGATGGAAAGACGTCTGTTTGCATGTAGTGATTTCAATACATCTAACAAACTGCAAGTCTGTCCATTAATTCAATCATTCATTCATTTGTTATATAAACAACTAGGGTCATGAGACGCTGGTGTCGAAATCCAGCAGTCATCAGGTGGGGGGACACCATGGACAGGTCTCCAGTCCATCACAGGGACACACAGAGACAAACAACCAGTCACATACCCACCCACACCCAGGGACAATGTAGAGTCTCCAGTTAACTTTCGTACATCGTTTTGGTCTGTGGGAGGAAACCAGAGTACCAGGAGGAAACCCAACGCCTGCACGAGAACATGCTAACCGCAACAAGGATTTGAACCTGTGACTTTCTTACTGTGAGGTGACAGTGCTACCTACTGCACCTCCATGCATCTCTGTTAAAACAAACAGTAAACAAAACATTGCAAGAACTGGATTAAACTCTATAGATATTTAATCTTAAATGATAGATTATCAGGATCAAAAACTGTTGATCTGGACAGCTCCTGTTTTTGTCATATAAACCACATATGGGGGTTCCTCAGTCCCAAAGACTTCCTCGGACCTTTCGGTTTCATGGGTGCACAGAAGAAAGAGAAACAGCTGATCTTTCTAACAGAAATGTAAGGTTGAGTTTGTTTTTGGACAAATGTTAAAGATCGTTTAGGTATCACTCAATTTGTCTCTACCCACCCACCCAATCCGTGGGTGTGTAGAAGGTACCATACCAACTTTATTTTTATAGCACTTGAAACACATGCAGGTAACCCCAAAGTGCTATACACGGAACAACTAAAACCACAGAATCATAGAACCTAGAATAAATAAGAGCCAAAGAGGTAAAACAATAAATAAGCGGACTAAAGTAAAGTAAAATGCAATTTAAATTATAATAAAAATGATATAAAACTAGTTAAAAGTCGACATCTCAGATGGTGTCAAAGGTCAGAGAGAATAGTTGGTTTTAAGCAGTGATTCAAAATCAGACAGTGAAGACGCCTGTCTCCACGATCTTCCAGATAAACTTTCACAAAAGCACAATTTACACTCAGAAAGCATGCAGGACCTATCCTGGGGGAATGTAAGCTAAATGGATGAAACAAGTGCTGTTTTCCACTAGAAAGCTCAGATTTTTCTTGTTTTCACTTCAACTGCAGACAGTTGCAGGCATGCAGATAGGGTGGGGGACGGGGGGGATCTGTCCCCCCCAGATTCAGATCGACCCCAATTCGTCCCCCCCAACTAAGGCCAGAAAGAAAACAAAATCGGAGGTTGCGCTTGAAGCTCCTTTTTCCAATTACATTGAATGCAGCATGACGTAAACAAACACCGACTCCAGAGGCGCCAAAGTGGTTGCTGCTAGGACGCAGGATGAAGCGAAAAAGGCGAATAACGATTACTGCGTGTTTAAAAAAGACCAACAGTGTAAGTAGGCGGGACCGATCTGTCTGTTTATGCATGTTGGTTATAGATTCAGTACATTGTTGTCAGTGTTGGGACTTACTCGTCATTGTTGACTTTAACAAGTCTCATCTACAAATATGATCCCTGATGAAGTTACTACTTTACATCAGAAGATAGTGGAGATGTGGAACCTTCAGGCTGAGCAAAGTTTGGGAGTTTTTAGAGTTTGAAAATCGCCTCCCGCTGAGAGGCTCCCAGTCGGGGAGAGGAGGAGATGCGCGCAACATGAAGAGCGTAAATATTAGATAAAACGTATAATTGCCGGCAGGCCTGGTCTTTGTTGACTGATCACTTTGTCTGGTCATAACTGACTCTGATTATGAAGCAGAATATTGACTCTGATGAAGAAATTCACTCATCCAACCGGGAACATTGGCGCTGCTGCAGCATCAGACAGCTGGTGCTGCACAAGAGGTGTGTGGAGCTTACAAGCTCCAAACGTTGGGTTTGATGTTTGTTTAACCTTCTTTGGGACGTGATGGATGTAGAAGCGATGAAAACACCGCAAACGTAACAGACGTAGCGACAATGTAAAAAAAAAAACGTAAAAAAGAAGCAGATGCCGATGCATTATGTATGGAAGTCAAGTGTGCCACATAATCATAAAAAATGAAAACTATAAAATTAAAAAAGAGATTTATATATTTATATATAAATTAAAACTTTCCAAATATAATGAAAATTTCTAAATAACGTAAAAATACGAAGGAACATCTGTTGGTCAGGCTGAAAAGTTTGGCAACTACTGCTCTAAGTGATAAGTGAATATTGTTTCTTATCATATTTTATGTGCCGTTTTTTAGGGTTTTTATTTCTGTAAAGATTGGTATGCTGAAAATCAGTTGTTTTGCATAAAGCATGAGGTTTTGGTTAGTAATTGATTGGAAGAATAACAAATGACTGATTTAAATAGTGGGGTGCGTCTGTCAGCGCGCCCCAGGGCAGCTGTGGCTACATCGTACCTCATCACCATCAGTGTGTGAATGTGTGTGAATGGATGAATGATACACTGTAGTGTAAAGCGCTTTGGAGTCCTTACTCTGAGAGGTGCTATACAAGTGCGGATCATTTATCATTTATAGTGTTGATCAGGCAGAGCTTTCCTGCCAGCGTTCCACTGCACAATGGCTTCAAACACGTATATAAAAGTTAGTTTTTACGTAAACCATTGGAAATTACACAAACTGACTGAACTCTAGTTAAGGCGCTTGCAATAGTTTGTGTATGTACGTGCGTGTGTGTGTGTGTGTGTGTGTGTGTGTGTGTGTGTGTGTGTGCGTGTGTGTGGGTGTGCGTGTGTGTGCGTGCATGTGTTTGGGGGAGGGTACATTGAAACTTTGTCCCCCCCAGTTTGAAAATCCTATCTGCGCCCCTGGACAGTTGGTACTAATTCCTCCTTATTGGCTTACTCTTGAGTGTTCATCTGGATCGAGTTTGGAAAACTCCAGAAAGGCTGAAGCAAAAAGTCCGCCAAAATATAATATTCCTGTCAGAAAGCATTTAGCAACATCATAAACCCTGAGCTTCACTGTCGATGCATTCTCCTGTTTCCAGTTTGCAGTTTTAATGACTAGATTAAAGAGCAGTATTTGTTTTTTCTGAACCTTCACTGGCCATGCATTCAACGAACCAGAGATGGAAATTCCCATTGTTCAAGAGGAAACAAGAAAAACACAAATTAGAAAGACATAAAAGGCTAGAAAATTTTAATTTTAAGCGCTGTTCAGTTGTCCTTTAATTTAACTCTATATGAGATGAGGAATTTGCTAGCCTGGCAAGCCAGACTAAGCAAGAATTTGGTCTAGTTCACTAGGCTAGGAATTTGCTGCTGATTTATAAAATACAAGATTAAGAGAGGGTTTTTTTTACTTCTGTTTTGGAGTAAATAAAAATTTTTAATTGTAATCACATTGACTTTAACCCTTTATTTTTTGTAAAGATGTAATAATTCCAGAGAATTTTAACCATGTTTACTTGTAGCATTTTTAGGTTTTTGAAGTTTCTAAACCAATAGTGGAAACAGTCCTTTTGACTGTTCTGACTCAGCAAGCATCAGTTTGGTTTTTAGAATTGTCTCAGGTTTGGTTGTGATGAGCCGTTCATCCCTGATCGGTCCAGCCTCTCTCACAGACCTTCCTGTGAGCTCCTCCTCCACCCAGAGCAGACTCAGTTGCTGCTGGACACTGGATGTTGTCAGCTGTTGAGCTCTTCTGCTCAGATCGAGCGCACAAAGAGCCTTTTGTCACTACAAAGCTAAGATTTGTCTCAACAGTGAGTTCTTGCCTGGCTGCGCTGTGCTCAACACGCAGCATGCACCTCCTCAGCCTTTCAAACAGCCTACTGTCACAATATTACATGTCCCAGTGCCCTTCCTCCTCTGTCACTTACAGTAACCAGAGCTCTAACGGAAGCCCTCTGCCATGCAGGTGAACACAAACATGCATATCCTGAACTCTGAGTTTAGTCAGAATAACGGGTGACTGAGCTGTGATGTGATCGAAGGCCTCTGACTGCAGGTAAATACAGAGTGATCAGACGTGTTAGAAAGACATGGACACAGAGGAAGAGGTAGTCCCTCTCT